ATACAATCAGCATATGCTCAGCTGAACTTCACAGGCCACTTTAAGAGACAGCTCTTTTGAGCTTCATCTTCTCTATAATCTCCCCAGCCTTTTCCCATTTTTTTTAATGCCTAGTTTGGGTCCTCTAGACAAAAGTATGGAGCAGTTTTCCAAGCCTAAGAGAAAAACTTAACATACTTCCTTGTGCTGCCTGAAAAAAAAAAGCAGGAATATTTGAACAAGACCCGCAAAAGGCAACTGAGCACCACATTCCATTCTCAACCCTAAAGGGACATGCCCTCATATATAGAAAGAATAAAGCATATAAACTTCAACATAATATAATAAAGGAAAAGATAATTGTAGATTTACAGGCAGTTGTCAAAAATAATAGAGAAATCCCATGTGCCTTTTGCCCAGTTTACCCAAGAGCAACATCTTGCAAAAGTGTAATAAAATCACAACCTACATATTGACACTGATACGGTTAAGAAAAAAATTCCCCTCATACTTCCTTCTTATATCTTAACCCCAGCTACCAGTCACTCATCTCTTCTCTATGTCTATGATTTTGCCATGACCACAATACTGTGTAACAGAATCGCAAACCACTCAAGCCATAAATGAGAGGAAGAAAAAAGAAAGCCTTTTCATAAGATGCTTAGTATTAGACCAAAAAAAGAGGAAATTTCCCTTCAAATACACTAGTAATAGCAGGACCAGAATCAGCACTGAGGGCTCAATTTCACACGTAGCCCAATTTCCCTATTCTTTTGAAAGCCTGTCACATACACGCTGTGTTGAGTATTTATGCCTTTCCTTCAAAAACTTCACATGTTCAAGTGCTGAGGCTCTGCCCCTCAGTGGGTGTGATATGAGGAGGGAGGGAATGGCTTTAAGGACAAGATAAGTTCATGAAGGTAGAGCCTCCATGAATGAGATTGGAATTCATAAAGAACCTCCCCAAGTAAAAGATTAAAACTCTTATAAAGAGGCTGGAGATATGGCTCAGTGGAGTAATCACCTGCCTGGCAAACACAAGGTCCCAAGTTCAATCCCTGATACCTACATGTCATTCTGGCCCTGAAACCAGGTGTGATGGCACACGCCTGTAGCCTATAATCCCAGGACTGGGGAGGCTGAGACAGGAGGACCACTATGAGTATGAACTGCATAGTGAGACCCTGTGTCAAAAATAAATAAAGTTAAAAAATATAAAATAAACTCTTATGAAGAACTCCTCCTGCCCCCAAAAAATAAAAATTAAAACAGGCCTCAGAGAGCTCTTTGCTTCTATTATTTGAAGACATGGTGAGAAAAATGACCATCTGTACTCAAGAAATAGGACCTCTTTGAATCTAGACAGACATCCTTTTCCTTTCCTTTCTTTTCGTTTCCCTTTCAAGTGTGTGTGGGGGGCAAGTATTGGAGAGTGATCCTAGGATTTTCTTCCTGAGCTATATCCTATATCCTACATCCTATATCCTACATCCTGGACCAGCTATATCCAAGAGCTTATTTTATTTTTTATTTTGAAACATGGTTACGACGCTAAGTCACTAAGTTGTTCAGACTGGGGTCAAACTTCTGATCCTCCTGTCTTGGCCTCCCAGAGCACAGGAATCACGGCAACACGCCATCATGCCTGGCTCTGGACTTGATCTTGCACTTCCCAGCTTCCGGAAACATGACAAATCATTTTCTATTGCTTATAAAACATCCAATCTATGGTATTCTGTTAGAGCAGTCCAAACAGACCAAAAGAGTAGTACTGCACACACATTTCTCTTATATGTATAGATATATTTTAAAACTCTACTTTTTCTCAAGAAGCCCTAGGATCTGCTGCTCTCCATGCTACATCTAACCACAGGTCACCAGTCATCACATAATGCTCCTTTTCTCTATCATTTTCTCAGCCATTGTTTACTTTCATTCCTTATCCAAGATTTGGAATTGGTTTGTGGTTAAAAGTTCTGATATCCTCCCAGTTGACATGGGGGCAGATCTGCCAGTAGCTACAGCTCTTTGGTCTTGAAACTTCTCAGACCTTTAAGAGTAGTCATAGGACAAATCAATGTCCTTGTAACATAAATATGACCATACCTTTTCTTTTTTGCTTTATACTTTTTTATTAGCTTTTACCCATAAGAATTAAGATACATTCAAATGAAGAAAGAAAATCTTTGTGCTCCCCAGTCTTCTAACAATTAAATGTCTCAAGAATTCTCTACCAGCCCCTTCCTCAACTTCTCTCCTCCACTCACTTTGCAGCCTAGTACTTAATCTGGCCCACAGGGTTTCATTATTAACAGCTTTTCCTTCTTACTCTACAGTGCAACTAAGGAGACGTCTTAGATTCCAAGCCTCCCACTGCTGTTTGTATTCGAAAGCTCCTAAATCTACTTCTATAAGCCATGTTTTCATCAGCCTCAGATCTGCATATCCAATAGTCAGTTGAAACACTATTCATCATATAGATGACTTTAAAAGTCTCAAGCTTATATTTTTGGTGTATAAAAAAAGTCACAGGACTGTCCTACTACAATGCAGTATATGGTTAGATTTCTAAATTTCTGTGTAAAAATATATAACTGATTATTCCTATTTTTTAAACATTTTTAATGTTTTTTCTTCATATTCTATAGGGACTTAAAGTTTAACATATCAATACTTGATGGAAAATACCTGTTCCATGTTATGCCTAAGATGTTTGATATTCAGACAGATAGTGACGTTAAGCTTAACTGCCTATGTTGTAGGGTAATAATAATAGGCTTCTCTTCTGGAAGGTTAACAACCTAAGTTTGCAGACCAAAAATTAGAGAAAAAGCAGGGCTGCAAGGACAGCCAACATTTTGGCCCTCGTCTTTCAAGGTCAGTGAAGACTCAGAATGTAGGAGAACTTGTATGTAACATCCTGTAACTCATTTGAGTCTCAAATTTTCTGATCAAGGAGATTATGAGGCCACAGAGGAAAGTGATCAATGATTTAGAATGTGCCTAAAGAGAGTCACATGGAGAAAAAAACATTGTCTCAGGCTTTCACAGAGAGCAAATTGGTCAAGCAATGGCCATAACTCATCCACATGGCTGACACTCACAAAGGATCTACAAAGTGCAGTACAGGGGTTTCAGGGTAAATCCTGAGGGGATTTGACTGACCTTATCAGATACAAAAGTTACATTTTTAGTTACATAGGTCTTGCTTTAACTTGGTCTTAACAATCCAGCAGAAAAGTATAAAAATGATGTATAAAAAGTAAAGCCATATTAATATGCTGAACTGTAAAAGGCTCAAGTCAACAACTTTGGACATTGCCAGTCCTATGGATAACCCACTACTATTATGGACTAGTGGACTATATTGGAATATTTTGCTGAATTTATGCATGTACAGTGTTTACATGACAATGGAATATCCTTCTCTGACAAACGTAAACAAAAAAGTGGGATACAAATGAACAACTATTTTGTACTTGTATATTCAAAATAGTTAGGATAGATATACAGATGCATTGTCTTAATTCAATGAATAGAGAGATTTGTTCTAATAGTGTTTGTGGACAGGATATCATGTCTGCATCTTGTACAATGAGTAACCACTAAGACAACAATATGCAATGTATTAATTATTGAAACTATGCTAATAATCGGTTTTGAAACTGTCTCATTGATATTTCTCAATAAAATTATTTTTAAAAAATAAATAAATTTATGTTCTGTTTGCCAAAACTATTTCCCTCTTTTCTGTACTTCGATAAATAGAACCAGCAGCCAAGCACTTGTACAAACCTGCAGTGCAATGACTGGTTGACCCCAAGTCTTCATCCCAAGTTAGTCCATCGCTCTTGCTTATCAACACTTTCTTCCATTCTCTGACCTGTTCCTCAGTAGCAGCACCTCATTTCAGGACACCAACACTTACCACCTAGAATGAATGACTGAACAGTCCTTCTTTACTTATTCATTTAAAGTGGTATTAGAGTTTACACACCTATAATATTCAATAATGTAACTTAGAAATAATGGGGTATACCGATGAATGTCCATTTTGTATCTGTGTATTCAAAGAGGTTGGGATAGATATATAGTTGCATTCTCTTAATGAATAGAATGATTTGTTCTAATGGTGTTTGTAAATAGGATCACAAGTCCGCATCTTGTACAGCAATTAACCACTAAGAAGAATATATGCAGTGTATTATTTGTTGAAACTGTCCTTCCGATTTGATTTGAAACTGTCTCATTGCTATCTCTTTGTCAATAAAACTTTGAGAAAAAAAAATTAAAAAAAAAATAAAATAAAATAAAAAAAAAATAAAGTGGTATTAATAAATACCTTTACCTGTTTTTTATTTAACATTTAGTGTATGGCAAACATTGTTCCGAGCACTTCAAATATGCCAGCAAATAAATGGGTGCCAAAATCTTTGCTCTCCTGGAGGTCATCACATCCTTAACCAAGATAGACAGTGGTCCAGAAACATCATAGGTCAGTATATTATATAGTATGTAGTAGGAAGTAAAAAGTACAGTTACAAAAAAGGAATGAAGTCAAACAGAGTAGAAGGAATGCTAAGAGGTTGGGGTGGACTTGCTTTTAAAGTTGACATCATCAATGTTTGGGAGAAAGAGACACTAGAAAATGATTAGTTAAGAAAAAGAGTGTAGCTAGACTATACAAAGAATTTTTTTTAATCCCTAGAAGAAAGGAGGAAGAAAAATGAAACAGACTTAGTTGGATTAGATTCTCAGGTACCAAGAGAGAAGAAAGCCTGGAGGCAGGCTGGTAAGCACTGCCAGGTGGTACAGAGACAGCCTCAAGTCCTGCCGCACTGAAATACTACAATAACATATATACTGTCAAACAGACTAATGGTCAAGAGAGGGCCCTCCACCCACAGACTTCTGGTAATATAATGTTCTTCTAAGTTTTGTTTCCTGCCCTGGTAAGGGAAACATTCAAATGAACATTCTGTCACTTTCTGTGAGAGTCCTAAAAAGCAAACAGCACCTACCTCGGTGTGGTCTTTTGAAGCCAAGTACATGACCCAGAATACTAAGGTAAATACCAGCATCAGCAGCAATTTGCGAACTGTAGCATTTGGAAACAATGTGAGTATCCTAGAAGAGAGGAAAGGAGAAATCATCACACCCTCAGTCAAATCCACATGACACATCTCGGTGTCCTCTGGCTCCTCTCAGTAGTGTCCAGGAGAGGGTGATGGCCTTGAGCGTTCAGGGTGTTCCTTTATGACTTCTGTTAGAAATCAGTAACAAGGCTCTTCCCTGAGGCAGGGAACAAATCCAGCTGAAATATTTCTGGTTTCTGACTTTCAGGTCAATTCTTCAGGATCGGAATCACTCCAGATGTCTGATCTTTTTCTCTCATCCAGGGTACAGTATAATCAATACTTTATGAAGGTCATTATGTTATTTTCTAGTTATTCTATTTTGTTCCATTGTTTTCCATTTTAAAGTACATCCCATTCCCAAATACAATTATTTTACGAATAGTGCAGCCACACACAGCCCTGAGTAGTTAATCCACGGTTCTCTCTCTTGTCCCTGACATAAAGGCCTACTAGTAAGAATTGGAAGGTACACACCTATGGATGTATGTCTTCTCCATCATATTCTTATGTTCTCCCATAGCAAATATAACTGTCCAGGTTATAGCTGTCCAATTATAGCTCCTTGATTAAAGTAGTCCTTGCATTTATTTCAGGCTTGCAGGTCCCCTATAAGCTTCGCTGATCAAAGGCTGACAGCATGCCAGCAAGTATCACAAACCTCCTTCCCAGTGGCCTGTTCCTGTTCACTCCCCAGAGCCAGAAGAAAGAAGCCAGGAGGACAGTCCGAAGTTTGCCTTTAGAAAATACACTTCTAAGGGTAAGGCAAGGTCAGTAACCTTTGGGAGAAAATTTGCATGTTTATAGAAATAGTACATTTCACTTGCTCACACCTTTATTTGGCTGTTGTGTTGACTAGTATGGCGCTGGAGAACATGAAAAACTGTAAAGAGGGCAAACAGAAAGTCTTATCCACAGCTTCCAGTGGATAAGAATTAATTACTGGCTCTTCTCAGTATTTGGAATGCTTCCTTTGTAAACTTGTCTCGCATGCTGTAAACCACTGCACACATCCAGCATTCTAACAATGATGATTGGTTCAACTGAATCTCAGCCCATAAGGGGAGCAGTCCTGGTCTACATCTCATTGCAATGTGAATAAGAGAAAATACAAAAGAGCAGACTTCAGTAGATACAAGTGCCATGACATGAAAGTTAATAAGTTGTCACAGAGCAGCTATCAGCCAGGGGATTTTCTACAACTATGTGACCCAAGTCACCTTTTACACACCTTGCTCTGCAGAATGGTCTCTATATCTAAATGGATGCAGACACAGGCAGTAGATATCTAAAGTTAGATATATACACATGTGTGCTTCATGTATACTCAGATATGTATATGCATTTGTTTGCTTGCTTCTATTCCAGTTTCTCCAGGCACGTATCCATGTAACTGTACAGATATTGTGACTACAATCACAGTATGTTGGAAACTAACAAAGGTTCTTTTGATTTCAAAGGAATTTAATAAGAGAAAGAGCTATTAACCCTCCTTCTTATAAGGCAAGTTCCTCCCCACTGCAATATACTACATATAGTATTGTGAGATTGCAGTCGGGTACCATATAACATCATTCCAGTCAATGACAGACTGCGTATGCCAGTGGTCTCCTAGATATATTGCCTAGTAAAAGACTACATTTAGATTGAATAAAAATGGTGCTGGTAAAATATAGCCTCTATATTTTACTAGCCAGTAGTAAAATAAAGCCTCTCTAGGACCTGGAATCAGGACACAAGAACAACTCAGTGAAGAAAAAAGAAAAAGCAAGTATTTCTCTGGGAATCAAAGAAGTGCCAGCAGAAAAACTAGAAACTACAGGGAATCTGCACATGGTGGAGAGAAAAGGACAAAGTAGTTCTTTCAAGGGCAGTGCAACATGGCACTTGGCTCCCAGGGAGGGACAGTCCTCTTTCTGCTGAAACAAATTAATCTAGAAGAAGGTCAATAGCTCTAGCGAAAAATGGTACGCTGGACCAGTAGTACTAAACCCAAGAAAAGCCTACAGTTATTGTAAACTGGAAAAACACCCTGGTGTTTTACACAGAAGGCAACTTTCTGCAGGGCAACACAGAGTTAGAGAGGAGATCTTGTGCAGCAGCCACCACATTTATGTGTTTCATCAGGGGCCATTTGGGGAACCGGCTAATTATTTAAAGCTGTGCTACAGAAGGGTTTCTGAGATCACTCTATGACAATGACTGGGTAGGAGAAGGCCACAAGGGACAGGCACAGAGAGGTTTGGGTTAGATACAGATAAGACCCCCTGGGAAGTTTAAACTCAGGCTGAGAGAGATGTAGATACTATTTACTCTGTGGTGAGAAGCCAGGAGGTGTGTGTGTGCGTGTGTGTGTGTGTGTACTTTGGAGTGGCCTGCATCTGAACTGCATTAAGTCCATCAGACCATTTGACACACCCCCTGCCCAACCCACCACCTATTTCCAGCCCAGAACTCATGGTCTGCTCAGTTTCCAATCTGCCAATGTAATCAAAGATACACCTTGACTTGGACGGTTGCCACATCCTGGGGTATGTGGAAATGGCAACTTCTGGGGTGGGATGTGAGGGAGCACTCCATAAACCCATACCCCATAAAGCTAGGTGGAGAAAGCAGTAACTTTGAGTTCAAGGAAACTGAGAGTGGCTGGAGAAGATATTGTTCTAGGTGAGATACCATGACTCTGTCATGTGCAACAGGATAAGTGGAGCAGGAATTATCATTCACACCCAAAAATGTGGGCATGGAAAAAAAAATAGGACTAGTGATGCACTATTCCTCCCTTACATGCAAAAGAAAACAGAAAAAGCTCCTAACCTCCAAGAAAACCAATGAAGAAAAACAACAGTGAGTTCCAAACTTTCCTCCACGTTTTTGAATGAGTATGAGAATCCACCAGGCGATCCAACAACTCCCTACTAGGTACATACCCGAAGGAAATAAAGCAGTATGCCCAGGAAATGTCTGCACTCTTAGTTTCCTTGGAACACAATAACCAAGATATGGAAATAATTTGGATTCCCACAAACAGATTCATGAATAAAGAAATTGTGATAAAGAAGGCAATCTTGTCATTTGCAATGACATGTATGGTCCTAGCGAACACTATGGTGAGTGAAATGGACCAAACTCAGAACAACAAATACTGCAGGCTCTCACTGACATCACGGGGAGTACAAAAATATCAATGCACACAAGTAGACTGTAGGATAGTTGCTGTTGGACACTGCATGATAAGAGGAAGAAAAGGGGGTCAGATGGTCTAACGCTTCCACTAGCATGGCTAGGGGCTGGGGAGATAGCTCAGCAGCATAAGTGCCTGCCTGGCAAGCATAAGGTCCTGTGTTCGATCCCTGGTACCTAAGAAAATAAAATAAAAAATGATCACTAGGATAAATAAAGTTAAAGATTTATGTAGACTACAATGGGATAGTAAAGCACTATGTATACATACCACATTTCACGAACACATTTCCATTTATCTTTTGATGGACATGGAGGTCACTTTCAAATCATCACTTACTTGTGATGATTTGTATTACTATGAACATGGATAACGGTGGATATGTATACAGTCATTCATATGTATCAATGTAATATGATGTCTTTAACTGTTTTAGGAAAGTTCCTAGAAGGAAATTGCAGTACCATATAACAGTTCTTTAATTTTTTAAGGAAGCTCCATACTACTTTCCATATAGATTGTACTAATTTATAATCCCATCAACAATGTACAAGCTCTCCTTTTGTCCCTATCTTCAGAAACACCTATCTTTTCCTTTTCTTATAATAGTGATTATGGGCCAGCCAAATAGCTCAGTGGATTAAACACCTGCAAGCAGGTGCAGGGGCCAGGGGTTCGTCGGGTGCACTGAGATGGTAATTGAGACTGGGCATGGTGGCGTGCACCTGTAATCCCAGATCTTGGGAGGCTATGAACAGGTGGATCACTAGAGTCTAATTTAGTAGTGAGTCCCTGAACACACTGTAGACCCTTCCCTAAAATAAAAAAAAAAAAGTGATTATAACACATTCTAACAAGTCTACTTTGTATGACATGGTTACCTACGACTTATTGGTTATCATTTGCATGAAATGGGATATCTTTCTCTATTTCATTGAACCAATATAACTTTTTCATAAGCACCATATAACTGGTTCTTATCTTCAAGGTTTTCAGTTATTCCTTATCTTTTGCTTAGACAAATTGATCCACTTACATTTACATTCAAAGTAATTATTCATTGATGAGAATTTACTACTGCTGTTTTGCTTACTGTGTTCTGTTTTATAGTAAATCCCTTCTACTGTTATACTACACTTTCCTTTGCGATTTGATGATTTATTTTTAAAGAAAGGGTCTCATTCTCATAGTCCAGGGTAGACTTGAACTCACTATAAAGCCTAGGTTGGGCTCCAACTAGCAGTCTTCCTACCCCAGCCACCCAAACGCTGGGATTACAAATGTAATCCACAACCACAACCAGCTTCAATTTGATGATTTTTTTGTAGTGTCACTTTTTATTATTTTCTCTATTTCTTAGGAATCTTCTGAGTGTTTTTCTTTGTGGTTACCATGAGGTCAACATAAAATATTATAGTGATAACACACCATTTTAAGCCAGTGTTAACTTAACTTTTGCAACATACAACTGCAGCCTTAAATTCTGGAAGCTTTCTCTACCCTATAAAATTAAATGAAATCGCTGGCTCCATAAAGCAGAGCAAATGTGTATGCTCTTGGTCCCTGTGTACTGCAGCCACCTATGTAGTAGAGTAGGACAAATCCTTTGTCCTCCCAAAATACACAATTATAGTTAACTCATGTAACAGATAAAGAGCCTGGGACACTGAGGGGCCACAATACTGACATAAGGTCACAATGTCAGCAAATGAATCTCATGGCTAGATCTCCAGCCCTGAACTGGATGGAGGTGGCCCTCTTTTTGTTCCAATTCTCCAATCATATAAGGTCAAAAATCTTACTATATTTCTCTAAGGATCTAATTATTTTTTCATAATTTTTCTTCTGTTCTTCAAATTCCATCTTGTCTACTATCTATCTTTAAATTTTCTGATTCTTTCTTCTGCCAATTCAAACCTCCTGTTAAGCACCCTACCTACATATTTATTTGGTTATTTTTAAAATATAACTTTTCTATTAAATGTAATTTTATTAAGCTTCTCTTCTGGATGTCTAACAACTAAAGTTTGCAGACCAAAAATTAAATAGATAGATGGGCTGAAAAAAAAATAGCCAATATTTTGTCCCTAGCCTTTTAAGGTCAGTGAGGACTCAGGACATAAGAGGACCTCTGCTGTGACATCCTGTAACTAAATGGTGTCCCAAATTTTCTGATCAGGGAGATTACAGGGCCACAGAGAAAAGTAATCTATGATGTAGAGTGTGCCTAAGGAGAGTCACGTAGAGAGAAAAAAAATTTTCTACGGCTTTCACAAAGAGTAAATTGGTCAAGCAATGGCCTTGAGTCATTCATGAGTCATTTCATGAGTCATTCATAAGGTGCTTGCTGTACCTGGTTCCAGGGTAAATCCTAAGAGGATTTGACTGACCTTATCTGACAGCAAAAGTTACATTTTCAGTTATATAGGTCTAGCTTCAACTTGATCTTAACCATTCAGCAGAAAAGTGTAACCACAAGGTATAAAAAGTAAAGCTATATTAATACGCTGAGCTGTAAAAGGCTAGAGTCAACAACTTCAGACAATTGCCAGTTGTGCTGATAACTCACTACTATCATGGCGTATTGGACTGTATTGGGTTATTTTGCTGAATTCAAGTACCTACAATCTTTGAACTGGCATCAAGTATGAAAAGGTCCTTTAAAGACTTCTCCAAATACAGCTTTTCTAACTGCAATGGAACACCCATCTCTGACAAAACAGAACAAAATGGGGGATATAAATAAAGGACCATTTTCTTACAAAAATATATATATGACTATACGAGATAGGATTCAGATACAAGAGTTACATTTTTTGTTATATAGGTCTTGCTTTATCTTGGTTGTAAACACCCAGCAGAAAAGTATAAAAACAAGGTATAAAAGTACAGCCATATTAATATTCTGAGCTGTAAAAGACTTAAGTCAACAACTTCTGAAATTGCCAGCCCCGCAGATAACCCACTACTATTATGGACTACTGGACTATATTGGATTACTTTGCTGAATTCATATGACTACAATATATGAATGACAATGGAATACACATCTCTGACAAAACTAAACAAAAAAGGGGGATATAAATATAGGACCATTTTGT